ATATTTCTATATTATTTAATTATTTTCATTATTTAAGTAAATAATACGATAATTATTTTGAAATTAAAAATTATTTTCAAACCCTTTTTAAATCTCATTCGGGTGATCAGTAGATCTCACTTATATTTATGCATGTACTAAATTGATATATTTTGAATTATCTTATTTTTAAATTTATAAATTTAATATATGTGTATTTTAATATATTTTAAAATTACATATATTTTTAAATCTCTAATTTTGACATATCTACTTATAAAATTTTAAACATAGGCTATGCACATGGATAGCATTCATGGGGGAGGTTGATCAGTGGATGGTTGAGCCTCAATCATTCACTAATCCATTTGTTAAGGGCGCTTTTTTTTCTTTTATCATCTTTTGCATGTGTATGATGCACGAGCACTTAGTTTAGGCTCTTCTAGATCTAAGGACTAGATTTATTTACTATTTTTTATGCATTTTCCCTTTATGTTATCCCAAGGGTTAGCTCAAAACTTAATTTAAACCTATTTGATGTAGTGACACCCTGAGGATAATAATTAAGGACTCACCTAGCAAACTTAGAAAAATTCTAAGAGCTATGATTGATCTCTTATTGACATAAAAATTTCTACGTTTAAATTTAGTAAAATATTAAATCATTCAAAATTTTCTAAAAATTTTTAGGACTCTTTAGACCCCTTAATAAACCAATCCTAATTTACCCGATAATTAGGCCCCGATAACTTCAAAAAATTATAATAAATCCATTTCAATTCATAAAAATGCCTATAATACCCCAAACTCTTTAGAATCCATCCCTTGACCTTTGATAATTAGGGCTCTTTAGTTAGACTTCCATCTAACCCTTAATTCAACTTTAACTAAAAATTATCGTTTTGCCCTTATTAGATAATTAAAAAATTATTAAAAACTCTAAATTTTCTGCAAACACTTCGGAACATCTTCTTAGGTTATTTTTGACCTTTGGAGGTGATTCCATTCAGTTTGGAGCTAATTTAGAGCAAAACCCTAAAATCACCTCTTATTAAGCAATTTTTAATAATTCATTAATTGTCCAAAACTTCTTAAATTCATAACTTTGCCTAGGAAACTCCAAATCCAGCAAACTCAAAGCCTAACTACTCCTCTTAGGGTCTAATATTTAACTAACATGCTAGAACCTCCAAACCTAGCTTATTTCTTATAGTGACCTTTTGGACCACCTTAGTTTAGCGTATAGATGGACCCCGAAGTTTCTAAAATTCACTAACATAATTTAAACTTTAATTATTACTAACCTAAGCATTAAAATGAATCAACAAATTAAATTAACTAAAATGGATCCTAATTCACTAATATTTAAACTTTAAATAAAGTTTCATTTTCAAACCTTCAACAAATCTGAACTTTAAATAACTTGAATTAACTACCCAGCTTAGGATCCATCCTAGCCAGATAGGCCTTTACACAAACGTAGAATTGTTTGCTAGGGCACCACTTCTAGACCTAGGTTAGACCGGTATTTACTTTTCTACTATGTGTCGGGCTTTCTGATATTTTACTGCTTTCTGATATTTTACTGCATGTTGTGAGTTAAATTGATGTTGTGTTTGCTTACTTTTACTGTACTCTGGGAATTGATGTGATTGTGCGTTAGATTTACCCATAGGTTAGGATCGATATTTTGATACTAACGATGTTTTCTGTAGGTGTCCAAGATCATGCGGCGCTAAATAAAAAGAGGGCAATAGTTATGATTTAAATACTAACGATGTTTTATGTAGACTCTCCAGAACTTGCTCAGCCCCCCTAAATAAATGAGGGCTAAATTAAAGTCATAAATAATAACTGCTACAGCTGCTCTAAAGATTTCTTAGCCCTAAAAAATAATTAAGAGCATGGCCAAGTGTGGCTGTAATGAGTATATTTTTTTTCATATAAACTGCTTAGGATGATATATTAACTGCTTGAGAATTTTTATTAGGATAACCTTGTAGGAGAGTCTAGAATTTATTACTTTCTATTAATTTAAATTATTTATAATATTGATTTGAGTTATGAAAGTGTCTTTGAGTTGGGACATCCTTACCCAACTTGAATTCCAAAAGAAGAAGGCATCCTCAAGAGAGAGAGTCTTCTTCCATTTGGAAGATTGAGTTCAGATCACTTTTAGATATCCAAAGAGAAAAGGCAATACCCCTCTAAGGAAAAATTGTCTCTTCATTTGGATATTCAAGCCACGATGAATCCAAAGAGACTGGGGGGAGATCAAAGGAGTCTAAGGAGAAGAAGTCCAAGAAGGCTGAAGAGCCGAAGACCCAATTAAAAGTTCGTTAGGGATGTTAAGCCCTATAGAACTGGCCCAAGGCTAACAAAGAGAGAGGTGAATTGGATAACTTTAAAACCAAAGAGAAAACTCAAACCAAAATCACCATAGAAATCAAAGTGCGGAAATTAAAACGCGAAAGCAGTAAAAAGAAAAAACACACTGGATTTATAGTGGTTCGGTCAAACCTTGACCTACGTCCACTCCTTGGAGGCACCCTCCAAGTATTGCACTACAAAAGTGTCTCTCCTTTAGCCCCCACAGGCCCGCTAATGAGGATGCCCTAATTAGGATTTCTGATTTTGGACAGATCGTCCAGGCCGATATTAATATTTTCCCTGACGATGTTACCAAAAACAGAAATCATATAGGGAGCAAGAGAATTTCTACCAAGTTATAGCCACACCAAATACAAAAGACTCAAGAAAGAAAAAAAGATTACAAACCAACATAGATCTAGTCTATACAATCTTGAGCTGGTTCCAGATTGCAGTCTGATCGTGTGGACCTGAAACGTTAGCACATAAGTCAATCGTAGAGAAATAAGGAATGTTTGCTATCATCAAAATCATAAATCATAGATCCGTAACACCAATATCCCAATCAAAGTCATTTGCGTCATTCCTAGGTTTAGAAATCCGGGTTGTTAGCAGTGGTTCCCAACCACTTTATTTTCTGTAGACCCTGGTTTATAATTAAGGGCAGTTTGTCTATTATCATTTATTAATTTGTTAATTATTCTGATGTATTTTATTTGTAATGGCTTGCCTCTAGGATTTCTTGTGTTTCTTAATTTATTGGTGTTTTGCATGCCACTTTTATTTTAGCCTGGATTTCATTAGGTTCTCTAATGACTAAAACTTTTTCTACTCGTAATTAAATTCTAAAATTTTAAGAATTAAAGAACTTATAAAGTTAACAAAGTAGGGAATAGCTGGAGCCGTCTGAGGCCGCATACATATTATTGCATCTCTCTTTCCTTCTAATAAGACACCTCCCTACCTGCGGGTAGAGTCTGGATAATCTGACCTATAAAGATGAAGTGTCGGAACTGGGGAGGCTTATTCTTAAATTATTTTTCTATAAGTCTATTTTTAAAATCTGAAGCATACATGATTTAGTCTTTTAACTAGCATGTATTGTACTAGAAACCAATTAAAATAAAACCTAATTGCATTAGCTCTAGAAGCATTTACCCTACATAAGTAAAAGGCCACTTAGGAGCTCTCTAGATGTTAGCCTTAATTTTGAAAAAACTAAACTACCCATCTATCTTTCATAAATGATCAGACATCATGGTTTTAAATCGATTAGGTTGTTATCTGGCTCCCTAATCTAGGCCGGGGTAAGTTTAAGTTTTGCACTGCATTAGTCAGGACACTGGTGTTAGTATTGTTCATAGAACACTAAACCCAATTTAGATTTATAATTCAGGGCTACTACATTCTGTCTCGTAGTATGCCTCATCGGTTGGTAAGTTTTCTATTTTTCAGGGACTATGAATCCTACATATTCGCATCACATTGATGACGCCACTTCTATTTTTCTCTCATGTATGCTTAGAGTGCTTGACTTTCTTTTCTTCAGTTTCTCCTTAGTGCCTTAGTCACTTTGAATTTTGGTATGAATTGCATGTGTTAACTAAGTCAAATCAGACCTTTCTTCCCCTTAATTAAAAACATCCTAGTCTCCAACCTTGTGTCAATCCCATTCGAAAGGATAATATATGATCCTTAATCAAGAGTCTTCTTAGGCTTCAGACTAAAATGTAATTAACCACGGGGGCTTGTGCCCATGGGAAATTGAATTCCACAATCAAATAAATCTCACTCGAGCTGATTTATCGGGTGGGGGAAACTCGTTGTTATGATCAGGTCGTATATATTACTATCCATTGGGGTGCGATGGCGAGAGCCGCTATCCTCAATGGTTAGTCGTATGTGCGATCTAATCTGTCCTTCCATTGGCCCGTTTACGAGGAGCGCGAAGGCCTGCGATCGTCTCTATCCTTCGGGGTGGTGCGGTCGTATACCCCTCCACACTCTACAGCCTGCAGTGTCCTTTCGTAGGTCCACAAATAGTTCACAAAATGAAAAAAAATTCATCCACTTGAAAAATAATTAGGGCCTACTTGATAAGTCATAGTCGCCTACTTGGGACGATGAATTCATAGATTGTAATCACCTGCTTGGTATAAATTCATTTGTAAACTTGACGTATATCTTTTGAGCTAAAATTAAGTTGACTTAACTTGAACTGAGCTAACATGATTGGAATCAAGCCGACTTAATTTGAACCCCTTCTGGTTGACTTAAAACTCATTCTTTAAAAATAATTAATTATACAATTAAAATTTACTTAGAGCTTTCAAATTTATATTAAAATTATTAGTTTTATATGATACCATAAATTATAATAATCTTAATCTAAATATGAAAATTTTAATTTATATTATAATAATAAATACGTCATATTTTTTTTTCTAAAAAATTTTTAATCTCCCCACTGGTTCCGTTGTTCAGGAATTTCCTTCCCAAAAAAAAAAAAACTTCCAAAAAAAAAAAAAAAAATTACGTAAGATAATCCCGTGAGACCGACCGTTTTAGTCCGACCGTACAATATACAAAACTCCAAATTTATCTTCCCATCTCAATCCTTCCCGACGATCGGCTCTGCCCTTAATTTCCCCAAAAAAAAAAATCCCTTCCCGACAACGTCGCGTGCGACAAAACCACCACACTCGATCTCCAGCCTCTACTCATACGTCTCCTACCATTTTCAACTCTTCATAACTAAATTCCGATATGTCCGCCGCAGCCGCCGCCGACGCCGTTGATCAATCTTACCCTCCCTTCCTCTCCGGCGCTGCCATGCCTCCTCCTCCACCGCCAGGCCATGAACCGCTCCATGTTCCTCTGATTGACTTGGAAAATCTCGAACACAAACGGCTCGGCGACGTTTGCCGATCACTTGGCCTCTTCCGGCTCGTAAACCATGGCCTGCCGCGCGAGCTCTCGGACCGGGTTCAGGCTGAGACGCGGCGGATTCTGGAGATGCCGTTTGAGCAAAAGCGAGCGGAGATGTCTGAACCGGACGGCGGCGGGCCGGTGGTTTATTTTTGGGGCACGCCTGCCGTGAGCTTGAGTCTTCGGAGCGTCAACTGGGTCGAGGGGCTCCACGTATCGCTAGCCGGAATCCGCTCCGGGGACGGACTGGACTGCTCTGCTTCCCTCCGGTACGGTCCTAATTGCATTTTTCCCTTATTTATCTATTTGTTCGGATGCTGAGGAAGGTGATGGGAAACGGCGGATCCAATAAATAATATTTTTTATATATAATGATATGTAGTTTAGATTTATTTCAAGATAAATAACATATATAAATAATTTATTTAATATTTTCTAAATTAAATTCAACATTTTGAGTTCTTGTTCTATTTTTTTTATTTTAAAATTCATGAAAATAATTATGTTAGTTGATAAGTGTGACTAAGAATAGGGGTGTTGATAAATAACCCGACTCGCTAATTCGAGTCAAATCCGACCTAAAAAATTCAGATTCGGATTGACCCGTTTAATAATGGAGTTTGGTACAGCTCATGCATTCCAGCGTTTATAAATGGGTCGAGTTCAGATTGACCGAAAACTCGATTTTGATCCAAAAAAGGCCTATTGAATATTTCTCTAAATTTTATTATTTGTTGGAGTCACTAATAAATTTATATATTTTTTTATTTTTTATCAATTAATCTAAAATTTATGATTAAAAATTTTAATACAATTATTTTTCTTTAATTAAAATGTGTTATCGAGTCGAGTTTGGGGCACTAGTGGGTCGGGTTCAAGTCCACCTTTTTATCTATTTATTAAATAGTTTGAGTTCAAGTTGCTCGAATTTAGATCAGATAAAATTTGAATTGAATCCAAACTTGACTCGTTAACCCATTTTGACACTCCTATAGACGTGTGTTTTGATTGATGATAACTATTAAATTTTCAAATTTAATATAACATATTATAAAACTATAATCATAATATGAATTTGACCACTCATACATTAGACTATATTTTAATTTTCTTTTAATCCACATTCCCTATTAAATAATAAAAACATAATTTAAATTTATGATTTGAGACATAATTTTTGAAGGTTTTCTATCATACAACAACAACAACAACAAGCCTTTGTCCCACTATGTGTGGTTGGCTACATATATGAATCTTTTTTTGCTATTATTGTGTCAAGTTAAAAGTCAAATTCTCATTTAAATCTAATAAAGAAATATCATTTCTAATATTTTTTAACCAAGTCTTTTTCGGTCTACCTCTACCTTTCTTAACATAAGTCAAATCTAATACATCAACTTTCTTAACTGGGTCATCGGAAGGCCTTCGTTTAATGTGACGAAACTCTCTAATCTTATCTTTCACTGGACCTACTCCATCCTTTTCACGTATATGCTCATTTTGTATCCTATCTCTAAGGGTCAAGCCACTCATCCACCTATGCATCGTCATAAATAAGTAAAATTAAAAAGAGGATTATTGTCATGAGAGTTCTCATGATTGATTGAGTTTTTATTGCAAAATCTTAGATGGCATTGAAACATTATGTTTGAGGGAAAATGATACATTGATGTAAGAAGGGGTGTGCATTATTTTGTTAAAATCAAAAAATCATATAAATAAATCTTATTTGATTAATTCGGCTCTGTTGAGCGTTGATAAATTTGTGGCGGTAGATTGAGAGAATTTTTTGTTTTAGCGATGTACGAATATCCAGTATACAAATAGATAGTTGAGAGGTTGAGAGAGCAAGAGAACAATAGAAATTTTCTTATGCGGAAAATGTAGAAAGAGAAAAATCACCTAACCTAGGAGAAAAGATTAATTCTACTATACTTTAATGAGATACAAATATTTGGAGACAGTGACATTACAATAATTTGGAGAGTCTGTCGAACTTTGTATGGGTACTCGAGAGTTTGTAATGACCGTGATCAGATGATAGAGGTCAAAAGTTTGGTAGCAGTTGTTGAGAGAAGGTCCAGCAAAGGTCGGTTGTCGAGAAGAGGTCTGGAATCAATCGGCATCCGACGGAGGTCGATCGTCGGGTGGAGGTTCGGCGTAGGTGGGCGGTTGGGCAAAGGTTCATTGTCGGTTGGCAAGCGAGTGGTGGTCCAGTGGAGTATGGGATGGAAGTTTACTTGAGATGGTGCTTAGGCGGTGCTCTAGAATCCTTGAAGCCTCAAAGCTCTCTCTAATCCCTCACCCCAAAAGGTCCCCTTCAAGCAAAGAGTGTGACTCTATTTATAAATTTTAAGAGTAGTACAATCTGTAAATATGGAGAAGATCCAGAGCAAATTCAAAGTGTTCCATCAGACAACATATATTGATTCCCTCAATAATAAACATTCATTCATTATTTAATTTCCATAATGATGTTGGAATGGAATTATTTTGGAATTCACCTCTTTGAGCCGCTCGATTCGACTATAAGCATCTTATATTTTGATGTAATTTGGTCATCCAATTAATGCTCTAAAGCTTCTGAATATACTTTAAGCCTTTGATTTGAGCCCATTTTGGGCTCAGATTGGACTCATTGTTTTGTCATTAGATTCATCTTGTGGAGACGTTCAACTTGACTATGAGTTTCTTGAAATCGGAGTTTGGATGGTCATGAATTTAATCTTTGAAATATCCAATCCAAATATGTATCAAGATCCGCGCCCGATCAAGATAATTTTTGGTGATTTGTTAGTTCCATCTTATTATATATATATAATTATAATTTCAACATTTCGTGGAGTTGGAGC